TAATTTTATGTATTAAAAATAATATTTCCGTTTTAATTTAATGGATAACATTTGTTGCTTTAATATTACATAAATAATTAGTGATGTTTTTTGTTAATGTTGTAATATTATCAGGGAAAATTTAGTTAAAAAAGCTAGTGATTTTTAGTTAATACTATTGGTTACAATTCCTTCCGTCAAACACGGAAAAGATGCAGTCGCCATTTTACATCATCGGTTTTTACGTGTGTGTGCAGTGCGCTTACTTCGCAACTGAAGTTCTTATTACGTAGGTGTAAAACATTTATTGGCATATTTTTGTTAATTTTGAATTATTAGAAGACGATAAAAAAAGATGGGACGCAAGAAGAAGAAGCAGTCGAGGCCCTGGTGTTGGTATCCTTTCTCAAAATACCTTTATTATGGAATACTTTACGTAACTATATTTTTAGTACATAAATCAGAATTACGATGGTACTATTTTTGCAATCGTAAGATTAAAAATATCTTAAGGTTATATTAATTTTCATATTGTATCGTATTATTATATTTTTTTATAATTTGAATGTTACAATTACATGTTAGAATACCTTTTTGATGGGTTAAGTAAAAATGTATAACGGGTTAAAGTAGCTGATTCCGTGAGAAATCGATATTTCGTTACTAACTATATTCGATTATATTTCGTTCATTAGTACAAAGTGAGACTTATTTGTGAAGTGAAAAACGTTGTACAATTCTGTGTTAATAAAGTATGTGTTAAGATAAATGCTTTATAAGCTTATTTTGAAGTAACTACTATATTATTTGGTAAAGTTGAAGAAGTAAAAAATATTTGAACTGTTAATATAAAATGCTCTGAATATTTATGTTTATCCTCTAATAGTATAAAAATAAGAGTAAAATGTTAGTAGTTGTAAAATTGATGTTTTTTATAATGAAAGTAAATTTTGAATTCAAGATTGATATATATTTTGTAACACATTATGGTAAAATTACATTTAATATACTTTCATTGCATTTAATATGTTTCAAAAGAATTAATGCTAAAGTATTAGTACTAAAAACAAAATTTATTTTATTTCTTACATTACTTTATTAAGTTATTAAATTAAATTACAGGAATGATATAGGTATCATGTCATGTTGTACATAACTGTTAAAAATTAGATTTAAAAAAAATGAAGAATGTGTTAACCTGAAACTCATTTTTTATTTTGCTATTAATATATGTTATTATATCATTGTGGTTTACAATGTTATAAAGTATAAAAACTTTGATAAAGTATTACTATAAAAATATATTACATACCATGTAAGTTTCCTTAATTAGTTTATTTAGGTATTGTAATAGAGAATTTGAAGATGAAAAAATTCTGATCCAGCACCAAAAAGCAAAACATTTTAAATGTCACATTTGTCATAAAAAACTTTACACGGGACCAGGACTTAGTATACATTGTATGCAGGTAATTTTAATAGAATTTTATCTTATAGCATTTAAGTTTAGAACTAAATGGATTCTAAAGAATAATTGTTGCCTCAATTTTTCAGGTGCATAAAGAAGCAATAGATAAAGTACCTAATTCTTTGCCAAATCGTAGCAATATTGAAATAGAAATATATGGTATGGAAGGTATACCGCCAAATGATGCAAAAGAACATGAAAGGCAAAGAAATGGAGGTAGACCTGGTTCACCAAGTTCTGGTGAAGATGAACCTGTACGCAAGAAAGCAAAACCAGAAGGTTTATTGGGTTCTGCACCAGGAGCTATACCTACAGGCTCTAACATGATGCCAGGTGTAATGCCAGGTATGGCAGCTCATCCTGGTATGCCACCAATGGGACAGTTCCCACCACCCATGCATCATATGATGGGACCTATGGGTCCTGTAGGTCCACCTTTCATGGGTCCTGGGTATGTATAATTTATTCTTTTCAAACCAGACAACGTGAAAGAAGAATTAAATAATTGATATTAATTTTATGCAAGTTAGGTAAATACAATCTAAAGTTTTTAAGTTTACAAATATCACAAAGGAAATATAGAAAAATTAGAATAAAGTAATAAATTTTCTTTTTTCTTTTTATAGTATGATGCCTGGAATGCCAGGTATGCCTCCTGGCATTCAACCACCAGTATCAGGTGCATCCATACCACCAACACGACCATTATTTCCAAGTGCTGCAGCTGTTTCAACAGCAGCATCTACTGCTGTGACTTCTCCCTTGGGCACAGATTTTAAACCAATTACATCAGTGGCTGGTGGATCCATAGGTCCTGTTAAGCCAACATTCCCTGCTTATAGTAATGCAGACAGTAATACAGCTACTAGTAATAATATTGGAAGTGATCAGAAAGTAAATCTTATAGCAACTACTAGTGCTGCAATTAAAATCATTCATCCACCAGAAGACCTTAGCCTAGTACGTTAATTACATTTTGTTCATATATTAATAATAGGTATATAAATAAATAGCAAAAATTATATATTGCAGGAGGAAATTAGAGCAAGACTTCCAAAATATCAACGCCGACAAACTGAAGAATCTCGAACTGTGCAAGCTGATACCAGTCAACAAGCTGTTGCATTACAACAGCAGCAGCAACAACAGCAACAACAAGCTGCTGCTGCTAATGCAGCTGCTGCATTTCAGGATCAGCAGCAGCGACAACAAGCTGCGTTAAATGCACTTCAACAACAACAACAAAGATTTCAGAGACCACCACAAGCAGTAATGGTTCCTGCATCTGCAGCAATGCCTGTTAGTTCTGTTGCATTGATGGCACCGCTTATGCGGCCTACTATGACTCTAGCTGCACCTGCTCTGATTCATGGAGGTAACATGATGCGACCGCCCCCCATGGGCCTACCACCAGGTAAGTCTCTATAATTTTAAATGCTCATCTCTATTTCAACGAGAGCACCCCATCAGTACCCATTAATCAACGTAAATATTTCAATTAAATTTTTTTTATGTGCCCTTTCCAATATATTATTTGAAACTCTCGAAGATGTATTACAGAAAATATATAATATAATTTTATTGTATTTTGTTAAATATCTTTTATTACATTTTTTGTAATTTAAAAAATTTGTTTATAAGGTAATATTTCTTCGATAGTTCAAAATTTATTACTCGTTTCAAAAACAGTAAAAATTACGTTCAAAATTCTTGATCCGAAGTAAAACATATTGACGAGTTTATATACACAATTTTAGGATCAGTATATCAAGAATAGGTACTACATTGTACATGTCATAGAATATATACAGTATATTTTCTTGATATACAATGTATTTTATTAATCAATTGTAATTATAAGTAATCTTCATCTTTGTCTTAAAATGACTATGTTGATTCTAATGTAAAGAACCTTCCAATGTTTTTCAATTAGAGAGATAACTTCGGACAATAAGTTTACCCAAAAGCTTGAGGTTTATAATATCTATTTAATATAAATATAAATCGATTATTTAAATGAAAAAAAGGTAAAAGAGAAAGAAACGTTTCCCATCTGACATAGCAGTATAATGTACCTTTGCACTTCATCCGTCACTGTACAGCCCTTACCCCCTGCCCCCCAAAAACAAGTTAGACTTGCTCAATGGCTAGGGATACATTATGGATGAATGAGAGTGATAGAGGACGAAAGTTAAATTTGGGGGGATCAATTTTGACGAGGTATGCTAAAGATATTTTAGTTACAAGAGCATTAAAAGATAAATGCAGGAAAAACAAAATATTATTGTTCTGATACTAGCACGCTTAGGATTCATCCGCATGCCAAAATCGACGACAGCGTGTCTTTTACGTTTATGTTTTAACGGTGCGTTTGCAGGGTACCCAGTCACTCCTTGGTGAGTGTTGAACGAACCCAGTGGTTACTAAAACCGTGTTTTATACAAGTGCAACAAGGTTGGTCCTTAGCAATTAGCATGCGGTGACATGGCCTATCTATCTATCTATTTCTCTGTGTGTGCGTGTGTGTGTGCGTGCGTGGGTGCGCGCGTGCGTGTGTGCGTGTGTGTGTGTTTATTTATTATTATTCTTATTACTTAATATTATTATTATTGTTATCATTGTCACATTAATACAGGTATATATATATTTCTGTATATTTATATTATTGTCACTGGGCAGGTGGGTCGAGCGGCCAACGATATTGCATCTGTTCTGATTCCTACAACGCCGGACAGCCACACTTTGATTTTGGACACATCACGGCCCTTTGGACGTGAAATGCTTCTTCTTGAAACTAGAGTACTCGGTATCAGAAGCACGATACGCCAGATTTATATTTTTATAACCGCGGTATATACATATGCATATGCCTGCTTTTCAATTATGATAAATGAATTCGTGACTCGACACATACACATACATATACAAATACAGAGTGAGATACATAATATGTGACAGCAATATATTTTTGAAAATATTATAGATGCTAAAAAATATTATGAGACAAAGTTGACATGTTTTTGAAAGCCAACTTTTCTGGCTAATTTGCTTTTCTGATCATGAAAATGTCTGGAAGATTTCAAAGTCATCATCCTCATTTTTTAAACGTGGCAGTGTGCTTTGTAATATGTATGACTGTCATGCACATTGAGGTGACCATGGTCACTTAAAGGCAATAATTGCCACAGATAGAGAAAAGCAGTTGTATCGTCCAAATGGTATTTATCTTTAACATTTTGGTATGATTCGTTTGTTGTGATTTATCAAATAAATAGCAAAATAATTGTGTCTTCAATACATATACAGTGTTCATTCGTACCTGTAAGTATTTTGAAGTTTAAGGCAAGAAGATAATATGATTTTGCTTACAAGGGATATGATCAAACCAATACTCGCCGATTTTGATAAAATTATGCGTACAACTGGAGAATTCCAAAATATTGGACATATATTTTTTTTTAATTACTGATATTCATCCTTAGGGGGTGAAATTACCTTCCAAAATTGGGGACTGATAAAATATTAATTAGACTAACTTGAAAACGAATTGAGATAAAGGAAAATGTTAAGTATGAATCTTGTTTGACCTTTCATGAGGAACAATTTGAATGCATATTTTCACCTATGGTGGCGCCATCTAAAATCTTGCCCAAACTTCGTTTGCATCAGGTTATTGGGGCAGAATTTGCACCTATCATTTTTCTCTATCTCAATTTGTTTTCGAATTATCCTAATTCATAGTTTTTCAACTTACAATTTTAGTGTGATTCTACCTTCTAAACACTAATATCAGCAGCAAAAAAAAGAAATAGATGTACAATTTTTTTCGGATTCCCTAGCTGTACGCAAAATTTAATCGAAATCTGTGTATATTAGTTGGTTGATGTCTTATATTAATAATAATTTACAAGATTGTCATACATCAATTTTTGTCATCTTGCGTTGTAGTCAAGGACCCGTTGTTGGATACATTTCAAATTCTAATAGTTCACTTCATAACTCCTCTACAACTATAATCTGGGCCAAATGTCTTGGTCGATCACATGATTTTCTCCTCAGCCATTTTTTGGTTCCATTCTTACCGTTCGGCAGTTAACAGTCGTCCTATAGAATTTTTCCGTTCAGTTCTTAAACAACGTTTACCCTGCTTTGACACATACACATACATGCGCTGGCACGTACACACGCCCATATATAAAATTACACGTGAATCCGCGACACTTGAAAGGGATACCGCGCGTGTTATAATGAATTACCTAATGACAAAAATTTTAATAATTTCTATAATTTTCATCCCACCTTTACGAACATAGTAACAGTGGATTGGTGAGGTTCTCTTGATGAAAATCACGATCACACTCTTGATCATATACGACGTAAATCGCACTATACTTAACAGTAATAAATTTTATATCGCCCTTAAAAATTGTCATACGTTTCGTTTTCGTTATCCGAGATTTTTAATTGGATTACTGGTAAAACTGATCCGATTGATGTCGTGGACTCATTTTCATCGGGAGAATCTTATCAATTCAATGGTATTATTTTCATAAAGGTAGGGTGAAAATTAGAAAAACTGAAATTTTTGAAATTAGAGATGCATTGCATCGCAGGCGGTTTCCCTTTAAAGTGTCGCGTTTCGGCCCGTCCTTTCTTGACGAACTACCTCTATCTCCAGAAAGTCTGTTGCCAAAAAAAGATACACGAAAGAGGTGTTAATACCTTTCTAAGATACGAAATGGGGAGAGCATATTCCTGCCAGAAGTAAAACAAAGATCGCATTACAAAAACAAATACGCCCATGGATCTATGACGTTGACCTTTTGAACCGTTACATATACAGGTCTCGCTTGGTAGGAAATAGTGGGACATCATCTAGGTTCGTTGGTGTAGAAAAGCGATGGAGGAGAAATCTACGTGACCGGCCAATACATTTTGCCTTAATTATAGTAAAATCAATGTTTTAAAATATAAGACTCAACATTGTCAGGCAGAAAAATTAAAAAAAAAAAAATCGTTGCAAGATAGAAGTCGACACTTTGCACATTTATTCGAGTCATAACAAATGGATTGAATCAGGGTGTTAGAAATAAATGCGAATAGAACCGTGGAAGTACTGTGCAGAGATGAGAAGATGGTTAGCAGCGTGACGAACTAGGGGCAAGCGGGGTATTCCATTCACTGTTCG